TCCGTGTCGGGCTCGCAAAGCGTGGCAAGCACAACTGTTTCTCGACACCAGAGGGGGTGCGCAGGGAGTGGACTCTCAGTGCGGCCTCTATGCGTGCCAGGGTCGGAGAGCGTGGCAAGCGTGGCATTTTCTCGACACCAGAGGGGGTGCGCACGGGGTGGTCTCTCAGCGCGGCCTCTATGCGTGTCAGGCTCGGAGAGCGCGGCAGGCGTGGCACTTTCTCGGCGCCAGAGAGGGTGCGCAGGGGGTGTTCCCTCAGAGCGGCCTCTATGCGTGCTAGGGTCGGGGAGCGTGGCAGGCGTGGCGTTATCTTGACACCAGAGGGGGTGCGCACGGGGTGTTCCCTCAGCGCGGCCCCCATGCGTGCCGGGGTCGGGGAACATGGCAGGGGTGGCACTTTCTCGACACCAGATGGGGGTGCGCAGGGAGTGTTCCCTCAGAGCGGCCTCTATGCGTGCTAGGGTCGGAAAGCGTGGCAGGCGTGGCACATTCTCGACGTCAGAAGGGGGCGTGCAGGGGGTGTTCCCGCAGGGCGGCCACATATGCGTGCCATCGGTCGAAGAGCGTGGCAGGCGTGACACTTTCTCGACACCAGAGGGGGTGCGCAAAGGGTGGTCTGTCAGCGCGGCCCCTATGCGTGCCAGGGTCGGAGAGCGAGGCAGGCGTGGCACTTTCTCGACGTCAAAAGGGGGCGTGCAGGGGGGGTCCCTCAGCGCGGCCCCATATGCGTGCCATCGGTCGGAGAGCGTGGCAGGCGTGACACTTTCTCGACACCAGAGGGGGTGCGCACGGGGGGGGGTCTCTCAACGCGGCCTTTACGCGCGCCAGGGTCTGAGAATGTGGCAGGCGTGGCACTTTCTGGGCGCGCAGGGGGGGTCTCTCAGCGCGGCCCCTAGCGGGGAAGGCGCGGCGCTTTCTCGTCGGGGCAATAGAAGTCCACGACAAACGCAGGTGTCGAGGTTAGCATTGACAAGTTGCGCACTTGCGAGGCAGCTATGGTGAAGCGCGAATTTAATGATTGCCGCCGGCAATTGAAACATTGGGGTTCTGATGCGCTTCTCTACAGGTCCGACGAACTGCTCCATCAAGGAGGGGGCGACGATGCCCGAAGGCAGTGCTCAACGAGATACCTGCTGGACCCTTCAACCGGCCGGTTCCCCGCTGATCAGCCGAGGGAATCGGGAGAGGGTGATGGCTCGCCGTTGGTGAATGTTCAGCGGGTCGGCGACGTCGGCGACGCGGGCGCTCCGTGCCCGCGCAGGCCGCGCCCGTGAAGTCCGCGGCCGCGCAGGCCTTCGCCCTCCGCGGCCCCCGGCAGTTCTGCTTGCTACCTCTGTTCGTTCCACGGGCCCCCCTCGCATCTGGCTGGCGGAGACGGGCCGCCGCTGGACAGAAGGACCCTGGTCGCAAGGCCTGCATGAATCAATTCAGCTCGAGAACTCGTCGTCAAAAGCACGCGACAGAAATTGCCTGGCGCGGGGAATTCGCAGCCAAGCGAGCTGCAGATCTGGGGTGCGGGCCGTCGAGGAGGGGCGACGATGCCGACTTGTGGCAGGCGCTTTACAGGCGCTCTACGGACGCTGGATCCCACGGAGTGGATGTACCCGCCCTTCGCCTGTTCGCACTGCAGTCTGACATGATCGGCGGAGCTAGCGCCCAGTCCTACGGGGAGGTGAGCGACGTCGCCCCGCGGGGAAGGACCTTTCGAGCCGCCGCTGAGCATCGCGGCGCCGACTCAATGCGCGACGTGCAAGGCACCAAGCGCGACAGGAAGCCATGGCAGAGTGGCGGGATGTGGCGAAGTTCCTCTACCCAGCTGACCAGGAGAACAGCGCCCCGACCCCATCAGGATCAAGCGCGTCACGCAAGTCCTCGCTGCCTGGGCGAACTTCAGAATTATGGGCCTCGCCCGCGCGGGCTCGTTCTCGTTCTCGAAGGAGAGAGTTTTCGATTTCTTCGCGTCGAGCTTCTACCTGACGCCCGCGTGCGTGCCTCACCTCGGGAAGGCGAGCGACCTCGGCGCCGCGGTGCAGGCTCTGATCCTTAGCGAGCCCTGAAGGCTTCGGGACGTGTGGAACCAAACCAGCGCGCCGTTCCGCACAGTTGTTCTGGCACCGCGAGTCCCATGTTTCATCCGACTGCGTTTTGGGCAACGGCCCTGGGCTTCCGCTGGACTTTCCGATTCAGTGTTCGGTTCCTACGGCCAGCGGCTCCAGTCGCTTGGTGACGACGCGTTTTGGAGACAGTCTTCGCCCCGACCCCCTGCCCCAGATTCACGGGGCTTTGTTGCGTCGAGAGCGCGTTGCGTCTGCGTCTGCCAGGCGGGAGATTCTTCGCAGCGGCGAGGCTGACCTGATGCCGCTCCGTCAGTGCCTGAGGCGCAACGTCCTCGCCTGAGCCTGAGACGATCTCTGATATTGCTCCGCTCGGGCTTAGTCCCAAAGGCCCTTCAACTCGAGCAGTCGGGCGTGCGCCTGGAGTTTTGCCATCGAAAGGCTTCGCCACTCGCAGTGCCCAGAAGCTTCCCGCCAAAAGGGGACCATTCTGGGAGACGGCCCTCGGTAACCCCGTTGCCCCCTGCTCCCCTGGAAGCGGTCCTCAGTGACCGTTTCGGCTTTACTTCCATGAGAAAACCGCCGTCGGTGACCCCTCCCTTCTTGCCTCGCGTCTGACGCGGCCCTCGATCCTCTCCAGCGCATGCAAGTCCGAGGGCCTTCCTTCCTGAGCGGTCCGGCGTGCGCCTGGAGACTTTCAATTGAAAGGCTTCTCCACACGCAGTGACCAAAGGATTTCTGTCAATGGGCGACTCAGGCAACTTGCATCATCGCGCATCACTAAATGGCCGACAAAGACAGGGAGTGTTCGGATATGGGTACCGGTCCATCCATAGGTGACTCTCTTGCATCCCGTTGTGTTTTGGTCAATGGCCCTCGGTGACCCTACGGCCCCTGCTCCCCTGGAAACGGCCTCCGGTGATCTCCATCGTTGCTTGCCCCACCCCCACCTTACAGACGACCCTCGATGAGCTTCTCGCTTTGCCTGATGCCACGGAGGATGCGGTTCTGAACATCTTTCTTCTGAGTCCCAGGTGCGCCGCGACACGCGTCCGTGGATAAGGGAACACCGGCGCCCTGCTATCCGTGATGGTTGTTCAGGGCGTAGCAGGCGTGGCATATTCTCGACGCCGTAGGGGGTTGCGCAAAATGTGGTTTCTGGGGCGGCTGCTATCCGTGACGCTCGTCCAGGGCATGGAGTGGCATCTTCTCGACACCTGAGGGGGTGCGCAAGGGGTGGTTTCTGAGGGCGGCCGCTATCCGTGACGCTCGTCCAGGGCATAGCAGGCGTGGCATACTCTCCCTGGCCCCCGCCCTGCTCTCCTGGGATCATGGGTCGTCTCAGGCTTTTGCGTTTTCTGCGTTTCGGGGCGTCTTGGGGTCTTTGTAGGGCCTCTTGGGGCCATCTTGGGCCGTCTTGGGGCCATCTTGGACCGTCTTGGGGCCATCTCGAGCCGTCTTGAGGCCTTGTTGGGCCCCAAGGGGGCCAACAGGCCCAACTCATTGATTTTCTTTCGGTTTTGGTAGGTTTTTGAAGCGCAGGAGGGAGGGGCCACTTTGGGTCGGGGGCCCCCTTCTGGGTACATTCCATTCTGCAACGCCCAGGCCCCAATTTTCCCAGCCAGCTGGCGGGGTCAAAGCAACGAGTAGCAAGTATAGCCCAGGCTTTTACCCTTTCTGGGCCCCCTCAGGGCACTCAGGCTCTCAAGGCTTGACTAGCGCCACGAACTGTATCGGCGAAGCAGCGGCCACCAGCATCATTCTCGCAAGTTTCACGTTCGCTATCATCAAGCCAGACATACAAGTATATGGGGATCCTCGGTAGCTTACTTTTCTGATTCCTTCGTTTTCCTTATGCCTGTGCTGCGAATCGAAATCATAATGAGAACGAAGCCGTCAAACCACTGTTTAGCTTGAGCCCTGGGGAGGAGAAGGAATGATGATAAGGACGGGGAAGGGAGGAGGACCAAGGATGGGATTTGCGTGGACCTGGCTGGCCGCCGCGGTCAACGTGGGAAAGATCGAAGAGGACATGGAGGATCGAGGATAGAGGTCGGAGAAGGAGGATGTGGAAGATATAAGGGAAAAAGGGAGCGTCGAGGAGGGAGGAAAAGGAGGAGGAGGAGGAGGAGGAGGAGGAGGAGGAGGAGGAGGAGGAGGAGGAGGAGTAACGAGGAGGAGCGCCGATCCCCAGGCGACCGACGGTGACTGTACTGGAACCAGGTCTCGCCACCTGGTCCTGGTGTGCAGGGAACCTGGTGGAAGAGAAGCACGGGCACGAGCAGGAGCAGCATGTCTTTGACGTTTTGTTTTTTCGTGCTGGGGATACAATCCGCTCGAAAAACCCTCGGGGACAACATGCTGACGTGTTTTGAGCCGCCTCCAGCCGTGGACACGAGGAGCCATCTCGAAACCAAACAAACATAACTTGAAACTTCATTATTATCCTCCTCCTCCTCCTCCTCCTCCTCCTCCTCCTCCTCCTCCTCCTCCTCCTCCCTGCCCCCCCGCTGGACGAATCCTGCTCCTGCTGCTGCTGCTCCTCCTCCAATGGGTGCCTCCCGTGAGGCGTCTTGACCGCGGCTGGTATCCGGTAGCAGGACACTCCTGCACGGGAGAGTGGGGTATCGGGTGACGCTGGCGAGGAGGGAGGAGGAGGAGGAGGGTAAACGAGGACGGAGGAGGAGGCGGAGGAGGAGAAGGAGGAGGAGGAGGAGAAGGAGGAGGAGGGGGAGGAAGAGGAGTGGGAAGAGGATGTATGAGGGCGGCGGCCGGCTGGCTGGCCGGGGCTCTTGGGGTCGAGGAGTCGGAGCGGGGACGGGGAGGAGTAGGAGGAGGTGGAGGAGGAGGAGGACGACGACGAGGAGGAGGAGCAGGAGGAGAAGGAAAAGGGGGAGGAGGGGGAGGAGGAGGAGGAGGTAGATAGAGCGGCATTGGGGGGCAAGGCAGTGCATTCGGCCGCAAGGATGGGCCCCCGCCGTCGCCGCTCAGAGCGGCACCTTCATTGCGATCCCGGCGCCACGCACGCCGATCGCCTTGCCGAACGAGGCGTAGTCGTATCGGCCATCCGATATTCTCATGCTCGTAGTCATAGCCCTGCCCACCACGCAGCCAGCATGTCCTCCATGACTCCCGTTGGTGGTGTGCCCGTCTTCGCCGTAGCTCCCACTTGGATCGGCGCTCGGTGGATGCTGTCCTTGGTGTTGCACTGCTGCTTCAGCTCCTCTGGCGGAACCTCCTCGGCCTCCGCGTCGGTCCTGAGCCCCCGCTCGTTATACAGTGTGATATTCGCGAGGTAGCTGTCATCGCACTTGCTGATCTTCAGGTGTTTCACTTTGCAGTGGTCGGTCGCCACACTGAACTGGTCCACTGACTCCCCGTGTTCTGTGAAACTGCTCTGGGTGTTGGCGCCCACTTCCGCGGGGCAGAGGGACGAAATAGGCGAGTGACCCTTGCCCGTCTTCTTGTAGTTGTCCGCGTAGAGCGTTCTGCAGGCTCGGAGCGCCTTGATCACGTGGGTCTGCACCGACATCGGATACGTGCTGTAGACGGCGGAAACGACCCACGCGAGCTGCTGTGAGTTGGCCAGCACTTGCTTGATCTTCACCGTGACCAACTTCTGCAGCCTGTGGTCGCCCTTGGTCTGGTAGGCTACTCCTCCTCGTTGTTGGCGTCGTGAGGGTAATTCGCGACACCGATGAGGCCAGCGGCCTTGAGCATGTGGAGGTAAAGGTGACCACGGCTTGGACTTGCACTGACGCGGTCTGTAGAAGCAGCGCCCGAAGGGGGGCAGCATGTGGAGTATGCACAAGCCGAGGAGCTGGGGCTTGCCGTTCTTCTTGTCGATGGTGAAGCACTGGATGTGGTGGGCGTAGAGAGGGGCGAAGCCGACGCGGTACGCGTGGTTACGGACTGGCTCGGCGCTCTCCTGCGCGAGGGGGGCCTCAGCGAGCTCGTCAACGTAGCCCACGCCTGACGACTTCGGCTTCTGCTTGGTGAAGTAGGTGGGCAGGAAGGTCATCTGGAAGATCTCGGCGGGCAGTCTCCAGTCTGGCACGGGGGCGCACGTCTTGAGATACTTGATGCGCTTAATGCGCCTGCGTCGCCGATCACGTTGCTAAACTTGGCGGGAGGCAGTCCGCCCTGGCCGTAATGGTCGTTCAGGTCAGGGCCGTTGATCGACGTGCTCCTGGTGGGCTTCGCGTGCTGGGTCTGGTTGATCCACTTGAGCTCCTCGTTGATCGTCTTGACCCGAGCGTGGTGGCGCATGGCGAGCCCTGACCGTGGAGTAAGAGACGCAACAGCGAACTTCATGTCGAGACCTCCTCGCTGAAAGCGAACTGCCCCTTCACGTCCTTGAATGCTCGGTGGCGGGCTGGGGGGCGCGGTCACGTACTCGAGGCGGTAGAGGTAGCTGATCGCGCTGGCCACGCCCTCTTGATTGTAGGCGAAAGGGCCGCTGCCGTAGCACCTCGCGACGGAGCGGTGCAGGTAGGTCTGGGGCTGGTCGTCGGGGCTGGTGAGGGCGAGCTGCCTCCCATGAGTGGCTGGTAACGTGGTAACGTCGACGGCGCTGAACTGTCTCTCCAGCTGCAAGCTGCTCGGTGGCGCGACCGTGCTGAGCGGGTTATACACACCCCGTCGCAGTAAAATCATCCAGAAGAACGCGAGCGAGGGAAATATGGATGGCCAGCCACGCTGGCATATCATGAAGGGTGCCCTGGGGGCGGAAGCTGCTCTGCGTGGGGTGCCTGCTGGGCCGCGAAGAAAGGGGCTAGAGCAGGAAACGGCGGTTGAGGAGGAGGAGGAGGAGGAGGATGCGGAGGAGAAGGAGGAGAAGGAGGAGGAGGAGGAGGAGGATGCGGAGGAGAAGGAGGAGGCGGAGGAGGAGGAGGAGGAGGAGGAGGAGGAGGGGAAGGAGGATGAGGAGGAGGAGGAAGCGGAGGAGGCGAAGGAGGCGGAGGAGGAGGATGAGGAGGAAAAGGGGCGAGGTCGGTCGGCGATGGAAGGGCGTGAGTGCCAAGGGAGTGCAGGGGAGAATTAGCACTAGACGAGATACGATATCCGCCGCCGCCCCCCAAACACCTTGCTGGAAGCCACAGAAGCTGCGCGGATGAGGCGTCAGCAGCCGATACGCCCAACTCTCTGTTCGCAACGTTGCATCCTCCCTTGAGGCTCAGCTACTTCGCAGCCGTGGTCAGCTGGCCACCAATTGTTCGAGCACCAGGCTGCTCAGTCTCTCAGGAGGTGAGACACTCTAAATTTCCACGAGCGCGCGCAACCCCCTCGGCTCGAAAGCAGCGTCTCGCCACGCTCGGCTGACCATTCCCTCATCGCCTGGGCGCTGCCTGGGCGCATGTCGAAACTAATGGATCCGCACTCTCGAGGCCACGAGCCCCTGTTGAAGCGTTTCGTCCGCGCTCCCGAGGCACCAGTCCATCCGCGTTCCCGAGGCCACGATCCTTTGCAAAAAGCGTTGGTCCCGCATTCCCGAGGCCACGATCGCTAACAACACGAGTGTGGTCCGCGCTCCCGAGGCCACGATGCCTCAAACGAACAGGCAAACATCCACGCTCCAGAGGCCACGACCGCTCGAAAAAGACAAGGGGTCCGTGCACCCGAGTCCGCGATCCCCGGTGGAAAACATTCGTGCGCGCTCCCGAGGCCACGATCCCCGATGTGAAGAATTGGGTCCCTGCCCCTGAGGCCACTACACATTGCACGATTAAAAACAAGTACCCGAACATGATTGCGTTCGTTCGTAGCACGCGATGGGTCCGCGCTCCCGCGGCCACTGCCCTGACGAAGAACCAATGGGTCCCCTGTTCGCACTCGCCAGCCGCCCAGCCAGCCTTCCGGGTCGGACGAAAGGGAGAGGGATAGGAAACGGGGGGGCGTAGCGAACCAGCTCACGTAGCTGAGTCTCCCAGCGCCTCCAGGCGCCGAAGGCGCCCAAGTGTCGAGGAAAGCGCCAGGCGGCGAAAGCGAAACCGAGCGATTCATACCTATACGACCACTCTTCGGGTTATAAGGAGGTTGTGGGGGGGAGAGGGGGGGGAACCAACGTCTGACTCAATCGATCCCACTATCGATCTCACTCAACGGGACACCACGGGACACCACGGGACACTTGTCGATCCCACTATCGATCTCACTATCGATCTCACTCAAAAGGACACCACGGGCCACCACGGGACACCGCGGGACACCTCTCGATCTCACTATCGGCCTCACTATCCATCTCACTATCGATCTCACTCAACAGGACACCATAGGACACCGCGGGACACCGCGGGACACCTCGGGGCACCACATCGATTTCACCCAACGGGACACCACGGGACACCACGGGACAACTATCGATCTCATTATCGATCTCACTTTTTGGGGCACCACGGGACACCTCGGGGCACCACATCGATCTCACTATCGATCTCACTCAACATGACACCACGGGACACCACTGGACAACACGGGACACCAGTCGATCTCACTATCGATCTCACTTTTTGGGGCACCACGGGACACCACGGGACACCTGAGGGCACCACATCGATCTCAGTATCGATCTCAGTGTCGATCTCAATATCTATCTCAGTATCGAACTCACTCAACGGGACACGATGGGACACCACGGGACACCACGGGACACGACGGGACACCGCGAACCACCGCTGGACGGACGGACGGACGGGCGGGCGAGAGAGAATCATTTGTCTTGACTTCGCCCTAGCAACGGCGGACACCACGGGACACCACTGCACACCACGGGACACCGCGGGACACCGCGAACCACCGCCACACGGGCGGGCGGAAGAGAATCATTTGTCTTGACTTCGCCGTAGGGACGGCGGACACCACGGGACACCACGGCACACCACGGGACACCGCGGGACACCGCGAGCCACCGCCATACGGGCGGGCGAAGAATCATTTGTCTTGACTTCGCCCTAGCAGCGGCGGGTTCATTCCTCTCGCGCGCCCACGCAGCTTCGCCTCGCCCGCACGCACGAATGAAACGAAACGATTTCCCGGTTTGGGGTCTCCGTTCCACTGCGATCTCACCCCCCCTTTCGTCCGACACATGTTGTACCCCTCACCTTTTTCCCTATCCCCCCCCCTGTCGTCCGACCCGAGCATCCCAGCCGGCCAGCACGCCTGCGATCTGGGCTTAGGTCGGGCATGTTCTCCTATAGGCGGATGTTAGAAGAAAAGAAGAATTCGCCGGCCCAACGGGCCAGAGGCGTGCTAAGGTCTCCCGTAACTGCTTTAAAATCAGGCCCGAGAAAAAAAAAAACATAATATTTTTAGGGCTGTAGGGCTATAGGGTTATATGGGCGATAGGGCTATAGGGTAATAGAGTTACAGGGCTATAGGGCTATAGGATATAAGGGGTATAGGGCTATAGGGCTATAGGGCTATGCGGCTATTGGGCTATAGGGCTATTGAGCTATAGGGCAATAGGGCTATAGAGCTATAGAGCTGTAGGGCAATAGGGCTATAGGGCCATTGGGCTGTAGGGCTAGTTATATGTCTATAAAGCTATAGGGCACCCCTGGGCACCTGGGCACCCCCGGGCACGCCCGGGAACCCGGGCACCCGGGCAC